GATTTGGTAGGGGACGAAGGGGATCCATCATTGGAGATGAGTGGCGGATCCGCTTCTCCCTCCCATCTTGGCGGAGCGAGGGACATTTGAGAGAGAGAGAGAGAGAGAGAGAGAGAGAGAGAGAGAGAGAGAGAGAGGTGGCTGTACTGTCGACATGTATGCTGAATCTCATGTCTCAACAGTGTCAGAGCTTCAGGCCATGGCAGCATCTTTCTTTACTGTATTGCCAACATCATGTGAATGCAGTATCTCTGTTTAGCCTGGTTCCTCCGCGTATCCGTCTTCTTTAGGAAGATCAAAGCTCTTGTTTTTCTCTGCTCCAGTGTTTGTTTTGCTCGGCTCAGTGATAATCAGAAACGGTCTGCTCCTTGCCTGATTGTTTGAGATCACCTAGTATAAAATGAAAACGAAACGCCCGGTGTTTGTTGGTTGATGGAATCGCCTCATTTGTTCTCTTTGAGATCGATGCACAATTGTTTAGCTACATAGTTCAGGATGGTACGGTATATTCCTTATTGCGGTATGACCGGTATGATGAGTTCAAGTGCATGCATAATTTCCATGTCTTTTACATTGAGGAACATATATGTTGCCATGCTGAAGAAATTAGCTGCTTCGGTGGTTACTGCTGTCAACAATCGTTTGCCCTTGACATTTTTGGTGAATAATGCGCTTCTTCTCTTCATGCCAATGCAGCCCTGAATTGAATCAGCTACTATGGCGGCCCTGCCGTTGGCCACGGCGGAAGTCTGCGACGCCAACTCGCACCTCATCACCGGCGGCGAGCTGCGCGCGCTGCAGCCCGTCTTCCAGATCTACGGGAGGCGGCAGGTGTTCGCGGGCCCCATCGTGACGCTCAAGGTGTTCGAGGACAACGTGCTGGTGCGCGAGTTCCTGGAGGAGAAGGGCCAGGGCAGGGTGCTGGTGGTGGACGGCGGCGGCAGCCTGCGGTGCGCCATCCTGGGCGGCAACCCCGTCCAGCAGGCGCAGAACAACGGGTGGGCGGGCATCGTGGTGAACGGGTGCATCCGGGACGTGGACGAGATCAACGGGTGCGACATCGGCGTGCGCGCCCTCGCCTCGCACCCCATGAAGGCCAACAAGAAGGGGATGGGCGAGAAGCACGTCCCGGTCACCATCGCGGGCACCAGGATCTGCGACGGCGAGTGGCTCTACGCCGACACCGACGGCATCCTCGTCTCCAGGACCGAGCTGATCGTGTAGGAGAGGCCGCCCGCCTCGTTGTCCGCGCCGTTCCACTCTGTGGTTGTATTTGCTTGTCTGTAACATGATGGATGAACTGGGCTCTGGGGCACTGCATAAAAGAGAGGAGGAGGGCTGCTGTGGTTGCTGCTGCTGCTGCCCTCCCTGATTGAATGGTGTTGTATCTGGACTTCACATTCAGAAGCTCTGAACTTGTAATAATTGTAAGCTTATCTTGCCTGATCAAATGGAATTAGGAATGGGAATAAAATTGTCAGTCGGATGCCTGCATTGCACTGTCAAAAATGTCAACGGTGATCCTCGTCGTGTTGTGCATTTGAGTCGTTGAACGGCGTTTCTGTCTATGCTCTTGGTCTCGAATTTCTGACGTGGTTCAACGACGTTGGCAATACACCGGTGTCTCTTATCTTCTACTCCCTCCGTTCCCAAATATAAGTCTTTCTAGAGATTCCAACAAGTGACTACGTACGGAGCAAAATGAGCGAATCTATATTTTAAAATATGTGTACATACATCCGTATGTTGTAGTCCATTTGAAATATCTAAAAAGACTTATATTTAGGAACGGAGGGAGTATTTGCCAAAAAAAAAAAAATCTTCTCTTTGCCCTATTATATTATTATTATTAAAGTGGCATACCATTTATATCATTCAATTGACTCAATAAAAAAAAGAAAAGGAAAGGAAAAACCACACGATAATGATAGAGCAGAGCTCCACCTCGTCTCCTCTTTCTTGCTCCGCTCCGCTCGAACCCACCGCATACCGGAGCCACGCTGGTCTGCCGCCGCCCTGAATCCCCCCCCTCCTTCCCTCCAAGCCTCTAGGCCATAACCAGTGGCGCCGCCGCCGCGGTCGAGGGGCTAGTCTGCGCCGGCGACCACCGGAGAGGAGGAGGGACGTTCTCGAGCCGTACGCCGACGCCGGTGGCCACTCCGGTAAGCGCGCGACTACATGGTCCTTGGATACTCTTGTCAATCTCCTCTGCATATAACGGTGCGCGTCATGAGAACACCTGTATAATAGAGGTTAGCACCCACTAATTTGTCTGCCTCCCTCCATATAATAGAGGTTAGCTGTGCCAATCTGCAAAAAATGTTTCCTTGCTCAAGGCAACTCTCACAAGAAATTAACTGTAATCCTATTCCTATCTGATAGGCCCCCTGATTTATATAGGAACCAAAAGTAAGCAGACCTAGCCGTGGTTTCTTGCAATTGACTCCTTGTTTTATAGTATAAACTTGACTTGCACTAAAGCTGCGTCGATTAATTTGGATCCGAGGGACTGATTTGGTTTGATCATGTCTTGTCCGGTGGTCAGCCAAATCGCTCTCTTATCTAATTTTAAGGAAAAGGGTTGCACAGACTGATTTTGAGAGTACTGATGACTTGGGAGCATCCGTCCGTAGTCAGGCTGCTTGGTGGTTAGTTGATGAGACGTTAATTAACTGACAGCAGAAAGGTAACCTTCTGTGAAAACGTTAACGCCTCATCAACTGAGACAGCCTTGTTGCTTCTTGTGTTTCATGGAGGATTTACTTTACCTGCATGTTAACAAGAGAATGGTCCTTTAGATGTTCCAGTCGCACGAAATTTCATCATGTTTCTTTCCTAAATGGAGTGTCCCAGCATTTCATCCGCCTGAGATCTATCTTTGCAACTGTTAATCCACATATAACTGAACAATATGTGTTCCTCATCGCAGTATTATAAGCTCAAGTGCATGATTTGCATACACATCTTTGGAGAACCTGTTGCTGTTATGCAGATTGAATGACAAACTTCACTCCTGCCGCAGCATCCCTGCTGAGCCCAAAATGGCGGCCCTGCCACTGGCCACGGCGGAGGCGTGCGACGCGAACGCGCGCATGATCACCAGCGGCGAGCTCCGCGCGCTGCAGCCCGTCTTCCGGATGTACGGCGGGCGGCGGCTCTTCGCGGGCCCCGTGGTGACGGTGAAGGTGTTCGAGGACAACGTCCTGGTGCGTGGCATCCTGGAGGAGAAGGGCGAGGGCAGGGTCCTGGTGGTGGACGGCGGCGGGAGCCTCCGCCGCGCCCTCCTGGGGGGCAACATCGCCATGCTGGCGCAGAACAATGGGTGGGCCGGCATCGTGATCAACGGCTGCGTCCGGGACGTCGACGAGATCAACGAGTGCGACATCGGCGTGCGGGCGCTCGGCTCGCACCCGATGAAGTCGGACAAGCGGGGGGTGGGCGAGAAGCATGTCCCGGTCACCGTCGCCGGCGCCAGGATCTGCGACGGCGAGTGGCTCTACGCCGACGCCGACGGCATCCTCGTCTCCAGGACCGAGCTCAGCGTCTAGCTCCTCCTCTCTGTGTATCCATTTACTTGTGTGTAAAATGATGTATGAATGCTGTGCTGAATGAAGCTTAATTATTCAGACTGATAAGATTGTATGTATACACATGTGTTCTTGATCAAACAATGTGCTTATGTTAATTAATCTTGACGGAGAACTTGGTTAGCAAATCTGATCCCCATCTTTTGGTGTCAGATACTTGTACTGCACTGTCAAAATGTTTGTTAGTATGTTCTATCAGCAGCATTTCAGTGAAGCAGGGCAGGGCAGAGCAGAGCAATCCTCTGCTACTAGTGACGAAGTGTTTTTTTGAACTCCACCGACCAAACCCCCTTCGCTTCCCCCTTCCGAAAGGGGATCCGGCGGCGCCGCCGGCCACCGCGCCGCTACCTGTTCCCAGCTTGAGCATATCCTAGCAGGCGAGCGTCAGAAAAAGAATGTTGTTTAGGGGGGAGATCAGCCACCCCTCATCGCCGTGATGGTGATGGTGCTGGTGCCGGGCGTCAGGCTCTAAACCCAGCTAGGGTTTCGGCCGGCGGCGATGCGGGTCGCTAGTGTGCCGCGCAACTCCCTGAACCCAGCTAGGGTTTCCGTGAATTTGTTTAGGGTTTGTGTTCTGCTCAGAAAGACGAGACGATGACGGCTCTATGAAGGTGGAATAAAATTCTCCTCGCCCATCCTATTCTGGTGATGCCTCTAGCATCGTCGAAGGGCGTGTGCAGGTGCGTCTCCAACGGGTCTCGCGGCATTCCGTCGGTGCTGGTATTCGGTGGATCTGCTTGGATCCAATCTTCATCTTCGTGCGTGTGTCTACCGGTTGAATACTTTCGATCTATACTTCTCTTCATCAGTGACGTTGGTTGTTCCAATGATGTTGGGCCTTAGCATGATAACTTGCTGACTGTCCACTACAAGTTTGGCCCGGCTCGAGTGAGGGAGGGGCTCTCACCCGAGTGCTTATAGTCGTTATTAGGTGGTTCATGGACATGGATGTAATTTATTTATTTATTTTTGTGTTCTTTGTACATCGCGCTGTAAAAATAGTGTATTTTATTATTTATTATGTTTATTCTAAAAATGATAACAAATATTACCTTTGTCTCAAATACTTATCCTATGTTTTCATTTAGATATAAAAAACATATCTAGTTATGTTCGTGTATGTGTAATTTTGAGACGGATGGACGGAGGAGGAGTATGCCTTTTGGTGAAGCAGAGCAGAGCGAAAACAATACTACTACGCTGCTACTCCACCAAACCCAAACCCAAACCGAATCCGGCGGCGCCGCCGGCCGCCGACCACCGTCCCCGCAATCCATTCCCAGCTCGGGCGTATCCTAGCAAGCGGGCGTCAGAAAAAAGATGCTCTTTTTGGGGAAAACACCCTCCGTCGCCATGCTGGTGCCGGCGCCGGGCGCCAGGCTCTAAGCCCACCTAGGGTTTCGGCCGGCGGCGATGCGCGCCGCCAGTGTGCCGCTCTACTCCGCCGGCGCCGGGGCCGGGGCCGGGGCGGTCTTCCTCGGCGACGGCGACGTCGACCCCGAGGCCCTCACCGAGGAGGACAGCCTCGTCGGCGGCGGCGACTCCAACTCCGTGGTAACCTCACGCCCCCTCCCTCCCTCTCTTTCCCAGGCCGCGTGCTCACACTGAACCCATGGCTGGTTAGCTCGTCCCAATCTGTGGTGAAACCCAGTGTTGCCCGGAGCAGAGCAAGAATGTTTCAACCTTAGTGAGCACCAAATCCGTGCCGGAAAACAGGTTATCTGCGCGGTGGTTCGACTAGGAAGGAAGGAAGTTACCAGGCTTTTGCGCGGCGCATTTTGTCGGTGTTTGGTCCGAGCAGCTGGGGTTGGCCGTGTGGTGCTACAGGCCATGCTTTTCTTGTTAGGATTTGCCATTTTTACCATGTGTTTGGTTGTAACCAGCATTGTGTGAACCTAAATGCGTAATGACAAGTAAAAAAGGCTCTGTTCATTGCTGGGCATTTACTTCGAAAAATGCTGTGTATTGTATTTAAATGCATAAGTACGAGATCTCCGTGCCAGAAATTTTGCTTTGGCTTTGTGGAATGGGGCGGTAGGGAAGTGTCGTTTTGCGCAATGGAAATGCTGTGTATTAATTTTTTTTGTATTTTTCAAGGTAGACCGTCGGCATTTACTTTGACCGGCCAAAAATGCGGAGGCAGGAATGTGTTGTTTTGTGAAATTAAAACATTCTGTGTATTTATTTATTTTTCAAGATTGACTGTTGGCAGTTACTTGTTCGACCGACCAGAAATGGATGCATTTCCTTTTAGTGCCACCGAATAGCATGCTTCTTGTAACAAAACACAACATCACAACCACAGCGACGTCATGGTTTTGAGTGTTAACCGTTGCTTTATCTGCTAGGATTGCTTGCATGGATCATACAGCAGCTCTTTAAGCCTCCATGGTGTCAGAGTTGACGACGAACACTCGGCTCTTGAGAACAGCAGCAGGCCTCCTAGTCATATTAATATCCTAACACCACAAGGTACAACAACTCTTCGAAATTCATCCGGCTCTGTCTGCTGTTAGTGCTTTCTCTGTGCCTGATTCCCCTCTTCGTTACAGACGTTGTGCCCATCGAAATAGCACGGTCTAGATTCCTGGACATCATCATTGACCATTTTATTGGCCAGAATGTTATTGAGGTGGGAGAACCCTCTCTCTATGACTCTATCCTGGCCAGCAATAGAATCAACAAAAGAAAGCAACAAGAGGTGCAATACGAAGGCGACCCGAGGTTTGCTTTGCCCTTGATGTACATAGCCAACTTGTATGAGTCTTTGGTGAGCGACGTCAATGCACGTCTTGCTTCCTTGACTGGATCCCGCGAGAAAACTATGGGGGTGGCTCTTGAAGCTGCCGGCGGCTTGTACAGGAAACTGACCCAAAAGTTTCCCAAGAAAGGTATGATGATTAGTGAACAGCAACTTGTATTTGGTCGCGCCCACTCTGGTTATTTGTTCTTCTCATCCGAGTCTCCTTTGATGTCACGCTACAGGAAATTGTAGCTTCAGGAGGAGGGAGCTGGCTACTTCTAATGCAACAAAGACAAAGTTTCCTGAACTTGTAGTACAGGAAGAAAAGCGGGTCCGTTTTGTTGTAATCAATGGTTTGGTGATCATAGAGAGGCCAAATAATATGAGAATGCAGGATGCGGAATGGTATTTTCTCTGATTCACCCTGTAATTCCTTCCTTGTGCATGTGTTGGTTGTTCACTTGTTCTATATTATCATATCTTAGGAAACCCTTTTTTGTTTTGAACTTGCAGAGTCTATAATTCTTACTATAAACCATCGTCTCTCGTAAGTGGTGTGGATAAAGTTACCTTTTTCATAAGCCAAATAATGCATATTCTTGAATGACAGACTCCGTTCCTTTGTTGCCATTTCCTTGGAAACAAATCATATATATTTTGGCTGGTTCACAATTTTGTGGAAGGCAAACTTTGAGTATTTTATATGCACCAATATGTTTGCCTCAACAGGGCTTAATTGTACCGATCTGCAAAGTCCTTTCCTTGCTTAAGGTAACTATAAGAAATTGACTGTATTCCTGTGCAACTGCTTTCAATATAGGATGAATTATGAACACGTAGCTTCAGAAGTTTGCTAATATAATCAAATCTTCGGTCAATTAAATTAATTATAATTCCAGGCAAAAGCTTTATTTATCCTCACTTTCCACTTTGACCCTTGGTACCCTCTGATATGCCATGATTTATGTATTTCTAAGTCTTGATTTTTTTTTCTTTCTCAATGTGCAGGTTCAAAAGATTGACCGGTCGAAGTGAAGTAGCCATTTCATCAAGAGATTACAAATTCTATTCGCCTCGACACAAGTACAGGCGTACCCTGCAGCCAGTATTTGACATTCCTGGCACGTCCGTAAGTGCATACTGGATTTAAGATTCTAAGGTTGCAGCTAAACCAATTCGATTATTCGTTTAATTGGTTCCTCTGTCCAGGTTTTGTCGGAGGATGAGACTTCTCCATTGGTTTGTTCTTCAGAATTTCGTCCACCATTCCAGGTAACTCATATCTTTCGATACCTGTTCTGACTAATGACAACATCCCAAATTCACAGTGACTTCTCCTGTCCTTCTACTTTGTTAAATGAGATTATTTTTCTGGTTCATCCACCTTTTCAGTTGGTCGCCACTAATAGCTTGCTCTCTTCCAGATGCAAAACCAACATGAGTCATCATCGAAGCGACACATTGAACAGATAGAAAGTCAACCTTACTTGCACTTTCTCGATCAAGCAGAGGATGACAACATCCAGCAAAACCAACATAGTTCTCAGTTCCCTCCTATTCATCCATGTGCATCGTCCTCACAACTGTCAGATAACCCCCAGCAGCACCAGGCCTATCTATCCCCGCATCTATCTTCCATGCAAGCTGGACACGGCCACCTTGGAGGACGCTCGAATATTCTTGTGAGTGAATCTTTATTTAGTACCGGCCAAATCTCATGCCAAATATAGTACTCCCTCCGATCCATATTACTACTTGTTGCTGAAATGGATGTATCTAGATGTGGTTCAGTGCTAGATACATCCGTTTGAGCGATAAGTAATATGGATCGGAGGGAGTAGTATCAAAACATTCATCATGTTCAGGAAAGAAAAGGTAGCTTCCGTCATGCAGTAATTAGTTGCAAGTCATCCTGTCTGTCTGCATTGCATTATTTCGACAGCTGAACAAAAACAGCAATCTAGATTTAATTTTCAAATCAGGTGCACTGTTATTGTGAATTGTCTTGATGGTATGTTTTGTATTTCAGCCAAGCAGCCCTGCAAAGTTCTGCGACGAGTGCGGTTCGCCCTATCTAAGGGCGACATCCAAGTTCTGTTCAGAGTGTGGCACCAAGAGGCTAGGAATCTGACTGAGGAATTTTGTCGCAGTTCTACATAGTTAAGGAATTTTGTCGCAGTTCAATCTTTTTTCTGCGGGGAGTTCAATGTTGTTTCGGCCATGATGCAGAACCCTGTAGAATGGGTTTTGGTTGTTGTAACTGAACTTGAGTTCACTCTTGCTTCCTTCAATGGAAATATATATCGATGGATGTGACTCCCTCATGTATTACATGTTGTTAACTGTTGTGCCTTACTATGATCTACTATATACTTTTTGTTCAAGTGAAACAATTTATGGAATATATTTAGCCCTTGTAGTCAGCATACAGTTTACGGGAAAATGAGCCATTTGCTTGTTTTGTGTCAATCGAGAGGAATTTTGCATATTCATTTTATCACCTTTTCATTCTAGAATTGTCTACTGTAGATCTCATAAAAATACATTACTTGTCAAACAAACTATGAATGGTCTTATATTGGAGATAGAATCGACACCCCACAAATTGGTCGTCACTTATTTCTTCAGCAAAATATTTGCTTTACCAAATTAACTTGAAGCCATTTGTTTTATCACTTGGCATCTGCTCAAACATGTATTCCCTTTACCTATAGAATAAATTCATATCCATGAAACTGCAACACTGGACCACAATCAAAGTGCAGCATACTCATAATAAACCATGGAAGTGCAGCCACATTAGAGGCAGTAATTCCTGCAACCATGAAGCCATCTCATGCAACTCCACGTCAATCTCCTTCAGAGCGTTCTTGATGCTCGACAGCTTCGACTCGAGTGCCCTCAACCCCTCCGTGGGGCGAGCCCGCTCCAGCTTTGCCGCCTCGTACCCCTCGTGCAGGTGATCTGCTTTCTCGACAAGGGTGAGGAGGTTGTTGACGCGCTCTCGCATGAAGCTAACGTCCATGCCCATCATCTCAAAGGACTCTAGGCCGGGCCTTCTTCCACCGCGCGAGGTCCTCGCGGGAAGGAGAGGCGGCGGAGGCCCTGATGCCCTTGGCTATGCGAACCGTCTCGATGATCACTCCTGCAACGAGCAAAGGGCATATGGGCTTCTGCATACGCTCGTGCAGGAGCGACTTCCGGTCGCGGCAGAGCCCGTGGTACGCCCTACGCGGCTCGATGGGGAGTAGTTTGTCGTTGATGGCAGAACCACCGACGACGACCTTGAAGCTTATGAAGCTTTTGCCAACGTCGAACTCAGTGCCTGGTTCCGAAGTTCCAATGCCATCTTCTTTGTTCTTGGCTGATTTCGAACCTGGTGGCCTCTCTCTCTTGCTCTTCGCGGTTTTGAGACTTGTTGGCCTCCCCCTCTTCGTCTGCGTCACAACCAATCAAAGAGTTGGCTAATTTTCCCCAATAACAAATTTAGACCCATCCATCTGTTGGAAATATGCCCTAGAGGCAATAATAAAAGTATTATTATTATATTTCCTTGTTCATGATAATTGTCTTTTATTCATGCTATAACTGTATTATCCGGAAATTGTAATACACGTGTGAATACATAGACCACAATATGTCCCTAGTAAGCCTCTAGTTGACTAGCTCGTTGATCAATAGATGGTCACGGTTTCCTGGCTATGGACATTGGATGTCGTTGATAACGGGATCACATCATTAGGAGAATGATGTGATGGACAAGACCCAATCCTAAGACTAGCACAAAGATCGTGTAGTTCGTTTGCTAGAGCTTTGCCAATGTCAAGTATCTCTTCCTTTGACCATGAGATCGTGTAACTCCTGGATACCATAGGAGTGCTTTGGGTGTATCAAACGTCACAACGTAACTGGGTGACTATAAAGGTGCACTACAGGTATCTCCGAAAGTATCTATTGTTTTATGCGGATCGAGACTGGGATTTGTCACTCCGTGTAAACGGAGAGGTATCTCTGGGCCCACTCGGTAGGACATCATCATATGCGCAATGTGACCAAGGAGTTGATCACGGGATGATGTGTTACGGAACGAGTAAAGAGACTTGCCGGTAACGAGATTGAACAAGGTATCGGTATACCGACGATCGAATCTC